ACAATTAATTTAAGCTTATAACAATATGGAAAATATTTATTTAAGTTTTAATATATTTTAATAATCCTTCCAGACAAATATTTAATTTAAAATTTTTTTTTCATACTTAATTTTATAAATTAATATACATTACAAGAAAATATTTTAAATAAACAATAATTTGTTTTTATTTTTTTAATTACAGTATAAATAATATCAGTTTATTATAAAGATTTATCTTCAGTATAATCAAAATATATAATTCAATCTTCCACTATAAATATATATATATATTACATGATGTTGAATATATTTAAAATTTATATACAAAAGACCAAATAGGAGAAGCCCAGCAAGACCATTTTGGATTGATATCACATGTAGAAGGGTCTCAAAATTTAATATTTTATGTAAAAATGTGATAAAAGCTAATTTATACTTTTATTTTGATAAATGATGATAAATCTGTTTTTACTTATTTTATTCATACATTTTTATGATTTTCCAAGAGCAAGATTCCACATTTGTAAATAGAGTAGGATCTGTCATCTCAGTCCATGAATATACATAATTATCAGCACAATTAAAGGCATATAACACAATCAAATTGCTTAAAAATTATTCTATCATCTTCAGTTTTCCTTATTTGTAAAAGATTTATAAATTACTTAAATGTTAAGGAGTGGAAACTTCAAGAAATGTCTCTAAATTACAAGTTTTTGTAACTGTTTTACCAGATATTACAACTATTCATAACTAATTACCTTGACAAACAAGTCACAGAAGCTAAAATTGAGTTTTTTTTTGTCTTGAATCTTTCATTTTATTTGATGGACAAAAAAAATATCATTAATAGAAAAATGCATAGCAACTTACAGAAAAATACATAATTTATTTTATGCATCAATGCTTATAAATTTTTGTAGTTTATTAATTAAGTACCTTTACAGTATGAATTACTTAGTGTATATATATATATATATATATATATATATATATATATTAACTAAAAAAATTGATGATATAGTTGATAGAAATTTATTTTAACCATATCCATTATAAATATATCATCCATATCCACATCTTTATCGTCTAACATAATGCTCTTTCAAGGGTAGATAATTTATAACATTAGCAAAAATAGCTAAGCATAGCAATTATAGTAATATCATGATTAAATCAATCATTGCTATCCTCCTTACATGTTCTTGTTGTTCATTTAACTTTTAAATATGTTATTTGCATATATTCAAATGAATTATTTTCCTTAATGACTGTTAATTTAGGTTTATATTATGGTTATAAATATCAAATAGTGATTACAAAATTGTTACATTTAATAATCTTGTTAAATAAAATCTTAGATAAGTAGTTGTACAGGTTTATGTGATCATTAAATTATTCTTTAATGAGGATATTAACATCTATTGATTTAGTTGTTAGCAAGTTCAAATGCAACAATCTTCTGTAAAATGATACTCATACAAAATAGTTTCTAAGAAGATTTAATTAAATTCTGTTACAAAATATTCTAATTAAATCCTAGCTAAAAACTATAACAAAAATGATACTGGTACTTTGTACTAACATTTCTCTTATATTTCATACATGACATTGATAAATGAATATCTATATAATTATATCCAAGATAATTTATTTCAATTTTTTCTGATATTGTAAGTGTTGGAATTTTATTTCAACACTTAATATTTTTTTAATAATGGAAAAAATATACTTACAATTAAAAACAATATTCAAAGTATAATTTTCAATAGAAGTTTAATATTAATTTTGGTGGCCAGATGACAAAGCATAATTTCAACCTATTACTCTGGGAAGACCTGGGTTTAAGTCCTGGTCAGAATCTCAATCTACATGGATAGTTTTTTCATATAAACTACCTGGAAAAAGGTTATTGGACACACATGGACTTATCACTGTCCCCTCAACAATTAGTAACATGTCCACCCTTCAATACTATCACAACAGTAACACAATGGGGCATACTTTCCACAAGTACAGCCATTTACCGGTCTCCAGGTTAAAGCAGCTCCTTTGGCAGCATACAATTGTAGTGTGGCAACAAGAATGGGAGCGTATCCCAGAGCAGCACATTTCCCGGCAGTTCTTCCCAGACGTAGCAAGACGCCTCAGCTTGAAATGGGTCCACCCTCAACACCAGATGTCACAGCTGCTCTCAGAACATGGTAAATTCAATGTATACTTACATCGGTTTCTACACAGCGACACTGACTGCTGTCCAAACTGCGATGTGCGTGATGGAGTAAGGCATTATCTTTTGTCTTGCCCACTGCTGGAGGACATAAGGAACGAGCTCAAACTTTACGTGGAAGAAGATAATCTCAATTGGCCGTGTAAGCTGGAAGTTTTAGTGTCGAGTAAAAAGTACTTTTCCCTTTTTCAAAGGATGGTCAAGCTTTACTTTAACAGAACATTAATACATTGATAAACGTTTTTCCTCACTTTTATTTACCGCATGACTCCTGACATCAGGATTTTATATCTACGTGTATTTTGATTTCTTTTCTTTTACGCTCACTGTCGGTTTTACTGCTCGGCATGTCACCTCTATGTACACACTGTATATATTCATCCCGACTGTGCCTAGCGGTGTCGGGCATAATAAAGTTTATTTTGTCTGTCTGTCTGTCTGTCCACAAGATTATGAAGTGTTGCCAGTAGTATATTCTGCCATTCCTCCTTCATAACAGCAGTCAATTCTGTGATGTTTGACTGGTCCAGTCTGTCCCAGATGCAACACTGTATGATGCCCCAAAGAAGCTCAGATAAGGCCACTGCATAGCACAGATAAGCACAGAGATAACAATATAGCATGGGACATTGTCATCCTGAAATAGATAATACTCATTCTCAAATCCACAGTTTAAGGAGCACCCAATTGTCCAGTATCTCACAATAAGAGGCAACATTTAGATGCCAAGAACCACAATGAGGGGATCCCACACCTTCCCAACAAAAACAGCCTAATCACCAAATTTCATTGTTGGAACAACACACTCATCTGATCTGTACAGTGAATCTCAAGTTGTCGATCCAGCACATGCTTCCAGTGTTACATGGTCCAGTTGTGATGCTCCTTTGCCTATGCCAACCAACCTGTGTGATTTGATTTAGTAATCAATGGCTGATGATAATAATCAAATGCACGGGTCTTCTTTTGTAACATCCTAGATGAGACAGATGCTCCTGTAAACTGCTGAAAGCTGAAGTTACAAAGCTTTTCATCCTGTATCCTTTCAGAGCTCTATGATCTCTGTCCATTATTAACATCAATCTACCTGACCCTGGTTTATGCTGGACTTATCCATCTTTCTACATCATACAAGGCCACAGTGAATTTTGCATGTTGTAGCTTGCTTGCAATGTGAGACACCCCACAATCACACCCTTTTGAAACTCCAACAATTGATCATAACAAAGCATACAGATTTCCATATTTACCATTGTATGCATGGTATTTATTAAGTAGGAAGAATATATAATTTGTATAAATGCTCCATATCGCTACAGATAAGGATGTTCAATCACTTTTTTCCAAATAGCATACATAAACCACTTCTCATTAATTAGCCACCTATCTCTATTGCAAATTTGGTCAAAGTCATAAATGGTCTATTGGTGCCCATGTGGTAGGTAGAGATTATTAGAGAAACTTTATTATTATATTATCACTTGAAATCTTTACCTATTTATGATGTTTTTGTCATCAGTTATGCTATTTGTAAATTTTAATGATTTTATTCAATAAATCTGATAATTTTGGATAGTTTCTATCTATTATTAATTAGAAATATTTGAGCATTTTCAAAAATTAAATCAAATTATACCAATAGCAAAACAATAATACCAGTGATCTATTTGGTGAATAATAATAAATCAGTCAGTTTTAAAATTTAAGAATTTACAGAAAATATTTTAACATTTTAAAAAAACTTCAAGCATACAGAATCCACATTGAGATGTATTTCATAATTCAACAGAACTTGAAAACAAATAATTATAGTAATTTAAATTTTTGTTCCTCTTGAAACTTTATATAAAGTGTTTATGTATATTTTTACATAAGTGTCTTTTAAAAAAGTATAAATTACATATCTGTATATGTATAATTATAATATGTATATATTAGGATATATATATTAATATATATCCTAATATATGTGATTCAAGAAGATAGCCCAAATGGATGGCTGGGGATATTTGAGAAGAAAATATGTTAAGTTTGGAGTCAAAGGTGAGAGAAGGGTTTGGAGTGTGGAGTGCAGGGATGAAGTTGAAGGGAGATCTCAAGTTTGGGCATGAAGTCAGAGTATGTTGTAAAGGGCTGTGATGAAGTTGTAGTTAGACTTAGCAAAAGTTGTAAGCAGTGAAAAAAGAATTTTGTTTAAGTTTTGTTGTGTTGGTTAGTAGAAAAACTTCCCACATATATAAACATAATTCATAAGAATCAAACTGGACTTACAATCAACAAAGTTTACGAATTTAATTTTTTAAAAATTCAGAAAAAATTGTCATAATAATTTGAAATCCAAAATTCATCATTATTTGTAAAGAAATTTAAATATTTTTCATTCCTTCTTTTCATTTATTAATTAACGTCTATACAATTTCAAACGATTAAAAACACATTTTAATGGTTATAAATAACATTTTTATGTAAAAACTTACAATTTACATTAAAATATAAATTATTATTATTTGGCATGAATAATAATAATAATGCTTAGTATTAAATGCTCACTTTTGAATCCACTTTAAAAATAATTCTCTTACAGCTATTGCTACTAACTTGAGAAAAAAAATGTTTATGTTTCCAATAAGCATTTATGACAGAAATTTTTGTTAAATGCCAATTAGAATCTATAAACATTGAACTTATGTTAGATGCAATTGCACTCATATATAGATGGAAGTGCCTTTGGAATTAATGCTTAATTCTTTCTTGCTTGGCAAGTTTTGATTTTATACCTTAGATTCCTGAAATATTTTTCCCGATTTCTATTGTATTAGTATCATCGATCTCACCGTATAGCAAATTAAAAAGATGTCAATAAGACAATCTGACTGTCTCTAATACTATCCAATATAATAAAAAGATGTAATATATTATACATACTGTATATTCACTCTTAAAAAGCTAATATAACAACTTTCCATTAAACTGTGTGATAAAAAAATATATATTTAAAACACGAATTAGCTTCATATTATCAGATTACATTCTCTATTTCTAAAATAAATAATTCATTTATTTTTAGTCAATAAATTACAATAAACCCTGATGATTACTGAGAAATTGTGCGGGGTTTTCTGAGCAAAATCCAATTATAGTATTATATATATTTTAACATATATAACAAAAATTAAAACAACCAGAGAGATTTTTTTAAAACCTGAACATACTGTTCACTTTTTAATTTTAAATGATTTATGGAAGAATTTAAAATTGGATGACTATTGTTTAAGATAAAAGCAATGCAAAACGATTTTTTAACTTTTCCTCAGAATTGCCACTGCCACACTTTTCTTCCATCGAAGGAGCCACTTTATCTTCATCACTGCTACTATAATCTGTTTCCCCATCGACATTTCCTGGATCATCTAATGTTGATTCTAGTTTCTTCTCACCTTGAATTTTCATAATTTTTCCAATGTCAGAATGGATGAGCCAAGTAGCTGTTTTTAAAATGTATTATATTAATTAAGTTATTAAAATTAAAAATATACATTTAATAATTATAAATATATTTTCTATATTTTAAAGTAAATATCCAATAGAAGTTTATTTCAATTAGTAAATTTATCTATTATAAAGTTTTATAATTACAATCTGAATATAACTATTAACAGTATACATGAATACTGTAAATAATGTGCTTATTTTTTTAAACAGTAAACATTATATAATTTTCTTTTATAACAATTAGTCATAACGACATTTCTATAAAATACACAGAAGAGGTCTGACAAATTGAAATACATTTGTATTAAGGATTAAATAAAAATTCAAAGTTTAACAGTGGTTTATGGGCTAGCTAGTCCCTGGAAAACTGTCATCAATTGTTCCTATCCATTATTAACTTCAGTCAAGTATAAAACATGTTACTGAAAATCCAAGATTCCAAATAAATCAGTAAAAAAAAAAACGAATTGCTTTAAATAACAAGGAACATTAGAAATATCTTAATTACAGTATATAATTCCATTCAAGATGGATGCTTAGGTAAAATTACCTAAGCAAAGTAAATGTTAAATTTTTAAATATATATATATATATTTAAGAATTATATAATGGCACTGTAGACATGAAACATAAATGAATTATAAATATCACTGTCAGATGATTATAAATAGTGATATTTATAATCATCTGTTTAGCTATTGCAATATACAAATACATATAGAAGGTGATATATGCAATAAGTAATATTACTTACATTTTTGTTGGCAATAATTAGGTGGATAAAATGCAAGGCAAAGAGTACGACCATCTAAAGCCATACGCAATAAATTATTGGCAGCCCTGTATGTATCAAGACGAGCTGCTCTTGAAGTTAAGAATCCTCTTTTCTCAGCCCAAGCTATAATTTAAAAAATTGAGTATGAATTTGCTTGAGTACAAAAATAATTAAATAACATACATGTGCTATAATATTTTTAATTTAAAATATTCTTTACCTTCACAAATATCATAGGCAGACCAATTGACTGCACATGCAGCAATTCCCTCTTCTTCTGGATGTTTTAATTTAAGTATACGTGGAATCGATAAACGTTCAGCAAGATATTTTACTGATGTATATGGTTCTCTTAACTGTGCTACAGGACATAATCCAGAGAGAACCTGAAGTTTTATAATTTAATATTACTTTTTAATAATAAAATAGTTTTAATTTAAAAATATTTTATCAAAACAATATAGCCTGTGATTACTAGCAAAAGACAGAAAAAGCTTATAATTATGCATGTAAATTATAAAAACTAAAGAACATGGAATAAAATTTATGAATAGTGTATAATATACAGTAGAGCGTCGATTTTCCAAAAGTCAATCATCCGAAACGTCAATCATCCAAAAGAATTCCAGTCGGCAAATTTAAATTTTCGCCAGTACTGTGGCGCTTCAATCTTTGGCTATGTCTTGGGCTACTCAAATATTTTACGTTTTTGATACTAAATTAACATCTGAAGTATAATTTTTTATTATTTTTATATTTTTCAATATATTTATTTTGTTTGTATAAAATAAAAAAATAATTTTTAACGATACAATAGTCTTTGTTAGGCTTAACATCGATGAAAATTCAGCGCAAAGCGACACGCAACGGATAAAAATTTTGACATTGGATACGTTAAACTATTTTTTCGTATGTAAATCAGTTATCCAAAATATCAGTTATCCGGACAACCCCAGTCCCCAATTGATTCGGAAAATCGACGCTCTACTGTATAAACATTAAAAATATAAAACTTATAAGTTAAAGAACTTAAAGAAGTTAATCATAAAATTATACTCATTTCATTAATATACAAATAATACTCAAAATAAAAACTCTAGAACAAAGTAAAAAGCATATGTCAGATGGGAAAACTAAGCCTCAATTCTTGGTAAAGTCCAACCAGGTGTGCAGGTGCTTTGTCATCTGGTGAGACAAGGAAATCAAGCTAAAATCTTTTTAAAAGATAGGGTAATTCTTGTACAGTACATCATCTATGTGTTAAGTTTTAAATGCTATCAGCCATTTTTAATCAAACTAATTGTTTTTAAATTTTGGCATTGTCATCAGAGGATATTTTAACTGCTTTCTGCATATCGTCACAGAGGTGAAGTCTCAAATAAAAGGTTGTCTCTGTGGTGAAAAATTGTTTTTGTTCCTGGTGAATATAAAAACAGATTTGCATTTCTTAAATATATATTTTAAAAACCCATTGTTCTTATCTCTATTCCAAATATACACTACGAAAACTGTGCAGATACATGCCAGACTCTCATAATGAGTCTAAATATAGAGATAACCTACACAACTCAAACAGCTTCTGAAATGTGATGAAATAAAAAATAAAATAAATTAATTTTTTCAAGAACAAGCGGTATAAAAGTAAATCTGCTTGAAAATCTACAAATTTGAAGTATTGCGTGTGTAAGGCTTTATTAAAATTTGTTAATAAATTTTAAAAAAATCAGGGAGAAAATTATGGAATATAATATGCAGTGCAAAACTGGAACTGTAACTTTTCATTAAGAGTTAAGAATATACCTGTAATGGTTTTGGTATCATAGATGGAAATACTAATCCAGGACAATCACACAAGCGAACACAATCTGTTATGAAGATCGTTTGAAAATGTTTTGTGTGACCAGGTGTCCGAGAAACACTGACAACCTATCAATTAAGAAATTAATTAATTTCAACTGAATATGAAAGTAAACTTCTTAAAGAAAAATCTTACCTTTTTACCAACAATTGCATTTAACAATGATGATTTTCCAACATTTGGATGGCCTGATTAAATAATCAAATTGAAATTATCATGATAAAAATTAAAAATATATATTAATATTTTTGTTAATTTGATTCACCAACACATCCAATAGTCAGTATCCCATCTTTATATTTTCCTGATTCGGATGATGATATACTGGCTGTATATTCATTCTTTGTACTAGAATCTATTGCCAAATTATCATCTTTGTCACTATCACTTTTTGACTCTAAATTTTGTTCTTCATCTTTAATTTTTTGATGCCAACTTGATAAATCCACTATAAAATATATTGATTTACTGTAGAATAAATTTTTAACTATTGACTTTTACTTAAATAATTAATTTAATAACAAAATTAACCTGAATTTTGAACAATTTGTTCACATATCCCTAATAATTCTTTTGCACCATCTATAGCCATGTGAAGTTTTCCTTTCCGACGACCTATAAAAACAACATAAAAGGAATCATGTAAAGAAACTAAATACAAAATATACTAAATTTTTAATTCATTACCTCGCTTTCCAATGGTATTAGATGCACCAGCATAAGATGCAAAACACATTATATATAATTTAGGAAATAGAGATTTCAAATAGTGTGTCCAAGCTATTACAACAGAAGCATCGACTAAATCAATTTTGTTTAACACTAAAATTACATCTTTGTTTAATTCTTCAGTGGCATACTTATAAAGTCCGGGTGGAAAATGTATAATCTGTAAAATAAAAGAATTTAAGAAGATTAAATTCAAAATGTTCTTATTCCATTTGTTGTCCTCTTTGTTTACCAGTTCCAAATAATATAAACAGATTCTTTTCCAATTTATACAAATTAATAAACAAAACAAAATGACAAATTATTTACAGTTCTCAATCACTGAACAAAACAAAAACCCTGGAGGAGAGATCCAACACTTCTTCTTAAAAGTAACTCTCCTAGTTGGCTTTTAAAACTAACTCATCAATTCAAATCCTCTTTAAACATTTTAATACCAGTAATGTTTCTCAAACTCAAATCTTTGAATTTTTCTGAATTCAAACAATTAAAATTGCTAAAATATTCTTAAATTTATATCATAAGAAAAAGTTTATTTATGTATAATTTTTTAAAGATGTCCATCAGAAGATTACCCGAGCTGACCAAGACCATAATAATAATCTTAATGGGCCTGATGATGATCAACATCATGACCACTTAGAAATAAAACTTTCACTTCAAATAATTAATCAATCACTGTAATTGGCAATTTACTTGCACATTTGATTAGTAATTCTTAACCTTTTCTCTTTCTCTCACCTATACTCCTTGAAATTTTAAAATTTGCTTTCACATCCCCACAAAAAACTGATGTCTTTTTATTTAAGTAGATAGAATCATCCTATTTTCTCACATATATTTTGTTGACTAACTTTAGATACAGCTTAAGTGATTAAAAAGAACCTCTCTGTGACCATTCATTAATATAAAAACATTTAGTTCTATGTCAGAGACTTACAACAGAAAAAAAAATATAATTCTACATCTAACATTCTTGAAAAAATAAGCTATTGGTTTATGGCTCATTATATGCCATGCAACATCCTGTAAGCTCACTATCAAAAATTGAGATTACATTTCTGATAGTAACAGTTTAAATTATGACTAATACATTACAGAGATGGTTAATAAAAAAAATTCAGCACTTAAATATGATATTTCATATGTATACCACTTATAAGAGTTATAAACTCTGTTATATATCTACATGGAAAAGTTTCACTGAACATTGAAGTTTTATAAAAGAAAAATAAAAATAAATTATCTTCTGTTGCTGTTAAAAATTTATGTAAAATTTTTATTAGATAAAAGCTAATTTTTTTAATATAGACTTTATATTTTATACACCAAAACTTAATGAATTAAAAATATATTTTCATTGATAGAATAATGGATAATGTTAGAAACAAGTATATTCATTATCTAAAAAAAACCTCATTTACTAAATTGATTAACATTAAATCAAATGGGAGGAAACAGACTGCAATTTTTCTCTCTCTCAAAAAAATCCTAGAATTAAATTATTCCCTAAAAGTTCTTTCTTTTCCATTCACACAGTTTTTTGAAAAATTAGTGTAGTAGTATAGACTTCTCTTACAGAATCAAAATACAAGGTCTGTTCAAAAAGTATCGGACCTTTGGTCGGCAAAAATAAATTTATTGACTTTGAGGAACAAAACCCTAATCCCCTTCAAAGTAGTCTCCTTGGTAATGTATACACTTCTCCCAGCGTTTCTGCCATTGCTGGAAACACTGCTGGAACTTCAATCTTTTGGAATGGTTATCAGCCGGTCCGTCGCATTTCGCACGATGTCTTCTCTCGACTAAATTTGGGTTCCTTTTAGCGGCATTTTCAGCTTGAGAAATAGCCAAAGGTCACACGGAGCCATGTGGAGAGAATACGGAGCGTGACGAACCACAGGAGTATTGTGTTTGGCGACGAAAGCCCGAATCAGATGCGCAGAATGGGCGGATGCGTTATCACGATGGAGCTGCCAAGTTTTGATCGACCACAGATCCCATCGTTTGCATCGCACTGTATCGGAAAGACGACGAAGGACCTCCTGGTAGTACTCCTTTGCGATGGTTTGGCCTTGTGGTGCGTACTCACGACACACCACCCCACGAGAGTCGAAAAAACTGTCAACATGACCTTTGATATTGCTGCGGACCTGCCGCGCTTTTTTTGGCCTCGAGGATCGTCCCCGAAAGCCTGCTGAATCTTGCGAATGGTTTACACTCGGGTATCGCCAAGGTTTTTGGCAAAATTTGATGTAATATCGCTGCTCACGTTGTTCAGTCATTTTCCAGCTTAGTGAAATCCGACGAGAGCGCACTACATGACCTCACTCATACGCCGATTGCCAACGACTGACGCTTTCTGCAGGCGGGAAAAAATTCAGGGCTGTGCATGACTGTCCCCTCCACAACTCCACCGAAGGAGGCCTCTCTCGCATCATTGGTTTACGCGGAAAAAAATAAGGTCCGATACTTTTTGAACAGACCTTGTATAATTCTAACTGACAGAAATCCACTTTATGCACTTTATGGCAATATTTTCAGTTCATCTAGACATCAAAAATTTATTACTATATATATATATATAATATATATTATTATATATAAGATATTAGATAGCTATTAAATGGTTCTTTCAATATCTATAAAATCTCAAAATTTTATAAATTAAAAATGTTGTAAGCCATGAAAAACTTATAAATAATTCAATCTTTTTAAATAATCTTTTAGTCAACTATTACTTTTGAAATAATTGTATTATGTATTATATTTTAAAGGAATATTCACAATTTCAATTTATCTTTATTAACATATATTTGAGTAATCAATAATCAATTAAAAATTTTTTTAAAATTATGGATATATTTCTATTCTTAAACTTTAAACAGAAACTTGAAATTTAGAGTATTTTTATTAATACTTGTTTCACAGCATACTTAATTACAAAGCAAAACAGCAAATATATGAATAATTAAAATATAATCATTCAGAGACTAATGTTACAAAACTTAAAAATTTTAGTTAAAAATAAATAAAATTAAACCTTAATTTTAGCAATGAGCTTTTCTTCCAAAATCATTTAAGTTCAATATTAATGAGATGAACCATTATGATATAAGTTGACTGTATTTAATTACTTTTCTGTGAAGAGAAAAGTAATTAATTACCCAATACACTAATAAAATAAAATATTCAAAGCATTTAATCAATTTTTCAGAAACTATAAATATTGTACATAATGTACAGTACAGTATCATATATAAAGTAACAATATTAAATAATTTCCTTTTTAAAATTTGTGTCTGTTTGCATTCTTCAATATAAGATTTAATAATAATAATAAATAATAAATTCAGAATATTAAAATCAAAATTTACTTTAAAATATATTTGAAAAATACACATTACAATCTGTTTGTAATGTTTATAACAATTTCTCAAAGAATTTTTCTGCACTTAAATAAAATAATATATTTATTGTCAATAGAAGATTAAACTTTATAGATAAGAAGATTATAGATAATTAAACTAAATGTAATTTTTTAAAACCAAATTATATATTTATTTTAGAAGATTTTCATGTTATATAAAGTAATAATTTTAAATTATTAGTAATAAAATAACAAAAATATGTATTATATTTATTATAATTTATCTTTAAAAAATCTATTATTATTTCTACTATTTCTAGCAATTATTTAAATTATTAAAAATAAAATTAATTTCTAACTTGATTGAAAGACAGTGAAAATATAGTTACAGTAACTGATATGTTTTAAAATTACTTTAGAAATAATTAAAACCAGTTACAAACAGTACCTGTTATTTGTGATTCAGTTGATTCTTAAAATAATCTTAATATCAGATGGCATAAAAATGCTGATATATTTTTTCTTTTATAAAACATGAAATAAAAAAGAAAAAATAATTAAAACAGAAAATTAAAGTTTTGTTTATAGAGATTTTTCCATTAAGTGCTGAAAATGATGCCTTTATTATGAGAATGTTAAAAAAAAAATTTTATTGTTTTAAAATGTATCAGACTCTTTTATGCCATCCTGTATATATATTATTTAATTGATGTGGTCACCTGTACATCATTGATCAATGATTAGAATAAATATTAAAGAATTTATCTGTAAATTAAATTCATGTTTTATAGAAGTATACAGGTTTGTTTAAATATTTTATAAAATTTTCCATTTAATAAATAATTTAAAAATTACAGTTTTTATTTTATCTTGACACTTTTTTAAAATTTATCATTAAAATTGAAATCTATAGAAGAATAGTTCTTAATGTTTTTAGTACAGTACACCCCCTATAAAACGAGTTCATATAATACGGATTCGTATATAACGGAGAAAAAATTGCGATCGTATTTGTATAAACACGCTAAGAGAGACTTGTATAATACAGTAAAACGTCATTGCCAACTTGTGTCGCGACAGGATTGGTCGAATCTAGACCAATAGCAGATATTGCACAAACGGTTGACTTTAAACGAGCAGCAGGCCTACTAAAAACTATTTATTATTTAACAGCCATAAAAATTATATTTATATTAACAATGTCTCCAAAGTTAAGTTATTTTTCTGCAAAAAATTCGCTGATCAGAAAACATGCACCCGCTGTTCGACGCGCTGCTCCACGATGAAAACAACCTTAAGCAATGGCATCGTTGAACGGTGCACACTTGGTAAGTAATCCTACAATTTTTTGTTTATAGCATGGTTTATATGGATTATTCCCAAAAAATTATACGTGTTTTGGAAATGTTGAGTCAAATTACTTTAGAATCGATTAATCTTATGGAAGAAAACCTTTCAAACAGCCATAGTCCCTAAACTGCATGCGTGCCAGGCTGTGATTGGCTCATGTATTTAAGTGACTTGTAAAACACGGAATTCACATAAAACAGAACGTATCTACCCTGTTATAGGGGGCTACTGTATTTGTACCTTTTGAGATTATTTGTATAACTATAATTACTTTCTTTTAAATTCAAACAAAAAAAGACCTCATAAGAGAACAGCAAGTTTGCACATTGATATTTCCCATTACAAAATGCTTTGTTATAACTTTATAGTCAGTCAGAAAGTTATTAGTATACATAAGAAAAGTATTTGGTGTAAGGAACCAAGTCCGAGCGTTATTTTTTATTTTGCTTTTTATTCTATTTTATTTGGGGCTTATGTTTTGTTAGGAGGAAGGTTTCCTCACCACTCACCTTAGAAACTTAAAAATAGAAGAAAGAGAACCAACTCATTGATGAAAAAAAGTGCCATAGAAAAACTCGCGCTCCCAAGCGGAAAAAGTAAGTCCGCACCAAGAAAGAGGGGGGGAGACCCCACAAGCACAACTTAGGAACTTGCTAAACCTTAAAGAATAAAACATCCTGAAAAACTGTAAAAAAGAACAATGTAAAAGGTTAGTGAGAATTTGTTGGGAAATAGGCTGCTAGGCAGAAAGGAAAAGTTTACTGTTAGCGATAAGTATGTAAATGAGGGGAGTGATCTCAATCAGAATTGTGACGTCACCTCACAGTATAAAGTCCGAACCTCAAGTGAAGATGACCGAGGTGAGCTTCTGTTAGCAATGAACGTGGTGAGCTTTATAGCAGCAAATGACAAGAGGTGTCCGATAGCGATAAAGTGGTTCCAAGGCAATTTGATTTGTGGATCGAAGATTAGAGAAAGTCTTGAGAGTTGAAGAAAAAGGTTCCTAGTATATTGAGGTGATGATTAGGACCTTAGTTCATAAGAATTGTTCATAAGTTAAGTCATTGAATTTTTTGTCGAATTCCAAAGGCGAATAGATTTAAGTTAGCAAATAGATTGATTTGAGTTTTGTCGGGTTGATCCTTATTGATTTTCGTTGAATAAATTGTTGTTTGATTGTTACTAAATTTTGTATATAGTTATTACTAGAATTATTATTAAATATTGGATTGTTTTTTGACTAACTTTGTCATTATTTCTTTCAGTGCACGCTTAAAGTTCAGGCCTGGCACATTAATGCGAATCCGCATAAAGTACCTGTTAGGTAACAGCTATTTCCGGCACAAAGTCATGTCGCTAATCATTGTAAAAGGCAGAAAAATAACTTAGCATTTTACATTGGGTATAAGTTTATATTACAAAGTAAGATCACAATGGTAGTCAATTGGAACATTTTCCTATAATAAAAATAACTTTAATAATACTTAATATTTCATTTATTGCCAATAATCAGTGTTAATAATTTATAAATTAAAATATAAAATTATTATTTTATAGCAAATAAAATAAAATATTCTTAATAGAATGAAAAATATCAGCATTGAATAATTAGAAGGTAAAATAGATAAAAGTCATTTAATCTAAAATGTCAACATTGAATAGATAAGTACATCACAGTCATTGCACAGTTAATGTTCTATATGTTTAACAATGATGCATTTTAACAGATCACATTTTTATATGTTTACTAATTCTCAATTTAATAATTACAATTATATGTTCATTAAAGTTCATGTGTAGATTCAAACAATGTGTATGACATGCCAACAACAATAGCCTCTGTGCATTTCATGCATGTATAATATTACTTATAAATATCATATGAACATCTTTCCACAATATATATAAAATCATTTTACAAACTTGGTGCTCATTTTAATGTGTAATATGTCATTTTAGTAAATTTATACTAAAATGAGTATATTTTGAAATTTTCTAACAATTTATTAAAATGTTATTGATCATAGATTCTTATAGAAGACATGTATCCTAATTGAATAATTAGTGGCCAAATATGATTATTAGCAGAGCTTTTTATTTTTAACTTTGACATTAACTGAACAGTAACTGTAAAAAGAAAATAAAATAGCAAAATTGTCAAAATTAAGATTCTTACAGGATTTCTAATATCTGCAACAATCAAAATAATGTCAGACATTTCTAAAACTCTCCATAACTGTCTCCAAGTCTCTAGATTCATTTCAAAATAACTGATATTTCTTTCTTTATATTTAAATTCAATTTCTTCTAAGTATTCCTAGAATTGAATTAAGATTTAAATTATTGTTAAATGATGACATATATCTTTTAAACAAAATATATTTACTCGAAAATAACTTTGTTCTTTAGCTTCAAGTTCGTATTTTGAAATAATAAAATCCCAAGCAGGTCGCTTTGGAATATCTATTTTACAATCTTTATCATAAATATCTTCAAAACTGACTTCTAAAACTTCCTGGAAAAATTTTTAATTATTTTATATTTATTAATTATAAATTAGTAAAATTAATAACAAGTTTAATATATTTTTTTAAGAATGTGTCAATTTTAATTTAAAAATTTGAATTCTGGTAATTTTCCTTTTACTTTAAGATATTAAAAAAGAAAAGCTCTAAGAGAACTAATTTAATAACATTATACTTAGAGCAGATGCCTTGCTTTATAACTGCTTATTTTATAAGTAGATTATTATAAATTTTCTATCATACCTCTATTAAAATAATATTTAAATACTACAATTATTATTGGTCATCTTTGTGTGACATTATGCAGTATAATTCAAACTGAATTTTCAGGGATATAATCTCAATTTATGAGACTAATCTTATAAATCAGGGGTGGGCAAGCAAGAGTTCAGTGGGAGCCAAAATGTAGGTTTTGCTAAATGATAATATCCTTCTTTGCATTTATCACATCTAATTCCTTCAACATTTATCTATATAATATAAAACAAATATTGAATTTTTTTAATAAACATATTTTCATAAAATTGTGGAAATAAAATTGTAAAAATAATAATAAAAAGCAGAAATTAACACTTTCAGCAAGAGCCGCATTTGCCCATGTCCATTAGAGATGGTTTATTTTAAGACAGTTTTCCATGAATCAATCAGTTATTGAAATGACAATCTACTGTATTTAATAAAACTGCACACTGGAATACATTTGTTTACCTTTTCATATATACATATTATTATTTTATAATGATTTCATGAATCAGATCAATAAAATCAGATTTGTGAACCAGAGGTAATGAGGGGAAGAAAAAATAACTGAAATAAATATTTTGTTCACATTGAACGTAATTTGATGGAAGGTAAGGAACAGTATAGTTTATTGATTTCTGTTTTTGTTCTGGATTGAGTTATAAAACTGAGATAAAAACTAACATTAAAATGTAAGCCAGGAGAAAATAATACCCAAAAATCCACCCAACATAAATTAAATAATTTTTTTTGAGATTTTAGTGACAGAATTATACTATACAAAAAATTGTTTTCTACATACAAAAAAAAAATATAGGGAAAAAAACTAAAATATTAATCACAGCTTAAAAGATCTAAACTTACTTCTAACTGATATCTAAAACTTTTTCCTATTGGGGAAAACAAAGGTACAGATTAGTTAGTATAGAATATTTTGAAAGTTACAAAGAGAAGCAAGAAAAGAATGGTTGGCAACACTTCCACCAGATCCTCTTTTTTTCATCTCCTTTAATCCTTCTTTGTAAGAAACATAAAAAAGAAAAGGGGTGAAAAAGTTTGATTGGCACTTAATGACCACATGCTACATGTGGCAACATACACATTAACAAGATTAAAGATGAAAAGAACCAACCTTCTTCTTTTTTTTTTAAATCACAACTAAGCAACAAACACCACTCTCTTCATTCTCATCCTCACTCTTCAGAGCCCTCCTTGATCTACCCTCTTCTCCCTCAGTTCAGGACCTGCCCCGTGATCTATTTTTCAGAAGTGCTACCTTAAGCCAACCAATACTAGCCAAGAGAGAGATACACCCAAATCAGAAATAGTAGAATTTTCTAGAAAAAGGAGGGGTTCAAGAAAGGAAAAGAAAAAAAACGGCTTGATCAAGCCATAAAAGTCTACACGATAAAAATTATTAATGAAATCAGAACGAATGAAATCAGGAATAATAGCTTAAACGGAATGCTATTATTTCCATTAATTTTATCACAAATTAGCTTTGTAATCATATACAGTAGAAACTTCAGTTTATATGAAATGGTTTAAAAAAATATTAGAACTGTAAAGTACAAATACACAGAAACCAAACTCTCCAAGTAACTAGAAATTATTATGTCTTCTGTTGATTGTAGCACCAAAAAACTAGGTCATATAAATAAAATGATGTTAGATTTTATGTAAATTAATTTACTTTCAAATACAGTAATTACATTACAGTATTTGTAGTTCATAAAACTAAATGCACAGTGCTTCCTGTATCCAAAACACAAAAACAGACAAATTTCTACATTACTCAAAATTTTATTTATCCAAAAGCCCCACTCCCATTAAGTTCAGATAATTGACTTTCCAAGTACTGTACATGAAATTATAAAACATATTTCAATTCCAACACAGTAAAAAAAAATTCCAAATAATATCAAAAACTGATGTAAATATTACAAATCATTCATGATAAAAAATTATAAATCATGTAGTTCTCATAAATAGAACATTTCTAAATAAAAAATTTCTTTGAAAATTCAATTTAATAAGAACTTCTTATTGTGTAACTTAATTAAATGAATGAAAAATTGAAAATTGAAGTAATCCTAAAATGTTGTTTTATAATTAATAACAATCTATATCAAACAAACAATCAAAATAAATATCCAACATTTCTAAAATGTTTCACAATTGTCTCCAAGTCTCTAGATCCATTCTGAAATATATCATATGTTTTAAAATAAATAAGGTATATGATATTTTTATAATTAAAGTTATAAAAACAACTTTTTATTTATTTTATCTTAGTTTTTCTTTTATTTTTATGAACTTTAACTATACTTGTTATCCTAAAATTTTATCAATAACATATTTTTACCATGTTATTGACTGAGGAAATTTTTTTAAAACAGATTTTGCATATTGGGGCAAGTGAGAGCCTCGAGATAAAGGTGAATGTTGCCAAAAGACTTTGTCATATTTTTAAGATGAAAGAACAAAGTGGGAAGACATGTTTTACTTTATTTTAGTGTTTCTTCTATTTTTATATCCAGTAGTATAAATTTTGATGTATTTTAAAAGAAATAAATTAAATTTTGAGGAAAATTTTGCTAAACAGTTTGATTTGCACTAAAATGATTATTTTAGTATTTCTTTTATGATTTGATTATGACATGATTAGACATCTTTCAAAATATTCAGATTTGTATACCACACTTCTTGAATAAGTTGAGAGAAATCCAGAAAGAAAGAGACCAAAAACATGACTTGAATAACATGAGAAAAAAACAAAACTTTACTGTATGATCAAATAGATTGCTATGAAAAGGACAATGCTAAGAAAGTAACAAGCTGTCCACTAATATAAGGATTAAAGAGAAAGTGTTTTGCTAACTGAAATTATCATCTGAAATTGGGATAAAGAGATATTAGATCACAATAAAAAAAATAAGAAAATGTTAAATTTTATTTTCTACAACATCCAAAATCAAAATGTAGTTTTTTGATAATTTCATCTAAATTTCTGAATAACAATTTTTTATATTATTAATTTAGCAACATTTCTGATTTATTTATACTAATATGACTGATAAAATCAACTAATTTAATTTCTTAAATTTTTCCCACAATAATGTATGAAGAATAACAAATTCTTTCTTTTAAGCAATCAATAAATATTTAATAGAATTCTGCATTGCATAATGTGCACTAGATTTAATTATACAAGCTCATTTAGTCTCCCCTTGTGTGTCATTTAACATTAAACATGAAATGATTTATATAAATAATATGAAATGATACAAAATATTTATTACAATAAATAATGGTAATTTTAAAATAATTATAGCTTATACCTCAGGCAATAACTTAAAAGGAGTTCTAGCTTCTTCTTTCCTTTTTTGTATTTCCTCTTCTGATTCTTTCTTAAAACACATCCTAAATCTGCATTTTTAACAAAAGAAAACATTAAATACTTTAAAATACTCAAAAGAAAAAAACTTTTATAAACTCATCAAAAACATAAATGCATACAAATAAAATTAAACAAAAGAATCATACAAATAAACAGTGTAAAAAAGTACTCATACTAAGGTAAATATCTAAAAACAGTTTATTATTACAAATTACNGAATCGGAGGGAACGAAGAAGGTGAGTGATTGTGAGTGAATGTGAGGGAACGAAGAAGGTGAGTGATTGTGAGAGAATAATAATAATAAAGACTGTGCTTGTGTGAGGAGCAGTGATGAAAAGGAATGTGGGAGAATAACAATAATAAAGTGTGAGCGAACAGTTATAAAATAAGTGAATAACACAGAATGATGATAATTATAAAAAATGAGTGAATGAAAGAGATATATATTTTATATAGTAAGAATAAAATGTGAGCGAACAGTAATAAAAGTGAGTAAATGTGGGAAAATTATACTAATAAAAGGTGAACGCCTGTAAGAAATTATTATTATTAAAAAATGGAGAAAACAGCAATAAGAAGAGAGTTTGAAAAAATAATTAAAAAATAATAGAATAATAATAATAATAAAATGACTAAGCTCACAAAAAATAATAATAAAAAAAAGGTGAGTAAGATAAGGGGATTGAAAAATTAGTTTTTGCATATTTGCAAAAAAAAAGAGAGAAAAAAACGAGAATTTTTTCAATCACTTTTTCAATCTCGTGAAAATTAATTCGAAGAAAATTTAAGCTAAATAAAAACACAAATAAAGTTTTTTCTACCTGTTTTTTATATTGTTTGCATAAATTAAAGTACTTTGCATCTATTACTTCCCAATTCCTTTTTAAAGGTGCTAATCGAAAAAAAAAAAATTCGATTAATTTCACTAAACTATGGCATTAATCTACATTAAAAATATTTTTAAATAAATAAATTTTCAAATAATCACCGTTAAAAATTGTAATTTTATGAGTAAAAAACGAGCCATTGCTTGTTGTAACGTGATCACAATACCGGCCTGAAATTTTCACACACATTTTATTTTAAAAAATTCACGTGACTTCCGGTACAGACCGGTAGTCACGTGTTCGTATATAGTTAATAGGGACCTATGGCTCTTATTCTTTCCATATCTGCTATTGTTTTTCATCTACGTAACTCATTTCTCGAGATTAACAAAGAAAGGACGAACCGGAATTTACAATTCTGCAATTTGAAAATTTCAATCCAATAATCAAGCTAATTATTGATTTAATTATTATTTTAATAAAAGATGTCATTTGTATACATTAGCATGCTGAATTTTATAAAGTAAAAAATGATATTATAAACCTTAATTTCATTAAAGAACTTAATAAAGTATCACGAAGATTTAATTAGATTCATTAAAAAATAAATAATGATTGTAAGTTATAATTAATTTATTAATGACTTCATATTTTAATAAAGATTTAGTCCTTCGTCAAGTGTATGTTTTTAATATGGATACTAAGCAATTATTTAAATTCTTTCACTGGTGATATGATTCCTTACTAAGTTTCTCGTTAGGAATAGATGCCCCACATTTAAATTTTGCTAGGATATTTCTTTTAAATTGCTAAATATTTATTTTCCATGGTATATGAGAGTGTCTAAAATGCTTTATTCTGCTTGTGGGAGAGATGCCTCAGTTTTCTCCCCTTTCCTCAACTGATATTAGCATTTAGTTTGGTTTAACTTGATGAGATAAGGCAAAGCAACACCGGGGGATTACTAAGGGGTGAGCTGGATCCTATTTATGCGTTATACACGTAAAGAAAGCACGTTTAAATCAGTTAAATTATAGTATTTCAATTAATATTTGGAACACGCAACTATAATATGATTGTTTTACAAAGGGAAATGTTCTCAATACGTAGCATTTCTTTTATATTTGGAGTATCTCAAAATGGATGTACTGTACATTAAGGAAAGATGCCCCATAACTATAAAAAATAGCTTTACAGTCGATTTTCGAAAGTGCAACTCGCCAAATATTTTTCTTCTTGATGTTTGCAGTGTCATTTATAATGTACTAAATGTCCAGAAGTAATAAAACAGTTATAATTTATTATTATAGTAGATTTCCAATTAACCAGGTTTTGTTTATCCAAACTTCTGTATTATCCAAGATAAATTATAGAAAAGTACTTTGTCAACAAAGATAAGAGGACATAGTGTGGCAGAGTTAATTTTATATATGTTGACCAGGTGAAATACTCAAAAAAAGGCTCTGAAAGTTTTAAAAATAATTTATCTCAATCAACTTTTCATGACAGCACAAATTTAAAAAATTAAAGAAGATGTAATTATAGGTTTACATTTGCATTAATAAATATAATTGTGTTTTATTGTATAATTTAAGACATTATGTTCAATAAGCAAGCATAATGAAAAATAGAGTATAATGTACAATATAGTACAGTACATTAATGTAATCAAATCCAATTTATTTAATAATTTACTAAATCTTCCAAGTTATTCAAGTTTTCAATTATCTGAGGTATCTCATGTTATCCACATTAAGTTAAAGAATTGAGAATTTACTTCACTTTTATTATTAAATGAGTTTTTCATTCATTCTATTAATTACTTTGTTTATTTAGATTTCAAAATCTCCAAATAGAGAAAGCTTAAAACTAAGGAAAAGTATAATAAATCTGCAATGACAACAGTTGATAAGTATATTGATATGAATGGACTACACTTTATAAACAATTGTTGTAATCAGACTGTTTTGTTTTGTATAGTACAGTATACTGTACATATATTATGTTCTGCTAACAATATTTTTTGGCTAAAAATGAAATTTTTAACTGCCTTATTACTTGCATGTAAGAAAAGAAGCACAAACTTTATAATTATCAACTCATTAACTATCAGATTAATTTCAGACTAGAACTTAGTTGCAATTACTGTATGTATGTACAATACAGTACATATGTATACCATGCCACAGTAAAAGTTAAGTTGGCTGAGACCTATCTATTATGGGCTGTGGGTGCAAATTCACCCCAATCAGCATAATGATCTGTGTGGTTCTCTCTCTCAAATTAATTGATACAGAAGTGAAGATCAGAAAGAGACTTGGATAACATAATTGGCAATAAAACTGCACAATAAACAAGAATTACAGATTTGAGTTCTGCTTTGGATCAACCTTTTCTTTCAGACTTTGCTTATTGTAATCATTTTGAAATGTGCATAAACTGATAAAAATAACTAATTAATATTATTATTCAAAATAAGTAAATAAGACTATAATTGGAGAACTTTCTGGTTCTAACATTAAAAGGACATGTTAAAACTTAAAAAAATATATACTGTAACTAAAAGATTTATTAATTATAATTATCATTATTACTAATTAATATGTAATTCATCACTATTGTTTGTTGGGTAAAAATTTTAACAGCTAGCACAATACCAGCAATTTAAACTACTGTATTATATTGTGACCAAATAACAAAACAGTTATAAAAAACACAAAAATATCATGTAAGAAAAGAAGCACAAACTTTATAATTATCAACTCATTAACTACTATCTTATTACTATTAGCAGAAAAGAGGAGGATTAAACTAACATTTTCACCCTCATGACAGGATAAAAAGCTCCAAACTATTGCCTGATATGCCACTCTAAATGACTATTCTCCATACATTATTAAAGGCCTTATATGTTGTCTTTCCTCTGCCACTTCCACCAAGCCAAACTTTCACACCCAGGACACCATTTACAAGACCATCATGTACGACAGAAGACTAGCCACCCTATACAAAGAAATATCCAGGAAAAAGAATTTTTGTTTAGCTTTATGAAGAAGTCCCTCAGTTTTCACCCTCCTCTGCAATGCTATCCTGACCATCCTGACATGCACCTCCAACCAGGCACCTACATTATCCCCATTACTGATCACAGAACCAACTGCAACTTGAAATATATAGGTGCTACAACATGCCCTTTAAATACCTGTCTCAAAGAGCATCAGAATTCCATCCTGAAAGGATTGGCCAACACTGTGTTAGCTTATCTTTGCCTCTAACCCCAACATAGATGTGCATTTCGACTATGTATGCCTCTTATATAGCTCCATCTGGAAACAACATCTCAGACATTTAGAGCAAGTTGAAATTAATAAGGCTGCCTGCAAAAATGCCATTAACTTTTGCAACAAAGATTCCTTTCTCCTGGCATGGAAGTTGTTCACAATCCTCTCCCCCTCCCTCGCTCTATCTTATATCACCTCCCCTCTTCACGTATGAACAGCAATCCCCCATTGTTTCTACAGCTGAAGTAATTTAGTCTGATGATGCCTGTTCAACATGGGCAAAAATGTTAAATCTATTCCCCTTTTTTCTGCTGGTATTTGGTTTTTATCAAGTTTACCCAGTTGTGAGTGGTTGTAAATTAATTAAAACAGTTATTGTTTAATTTAATTTACTAAATTTTGGCTTTCTTTAGTAACTTAAATCACACAGGGATACATTAATTGATTATGTAGCCTTTATTATTGTATTTGGAAATGCATTTTTATAATATATTTTAACTTGTATATTTTGGTACCTTCTAATTTTAATAACAACAACTGACTGATAACATTCTCTGTAATTACAATATGCAGAATCTACATCCCTTGATTTATAATTAATATAATTATTAAAATTTAATACAAAATGGCAACTAACAGCTTACCTTTAGTTTGCCTTGTTATTTATAGATCACTTTGTATATTAGCGGCTGTTCGTAAATGACATCCACAGTGGAAAGAAGAGAGGATTATGACAAGTCGAACAAGGGAAGGGGAGGAGTTGAACTTCAATGGACATCTGTTTTATTTCATTAAGTTTTATACAGTTTATGCATTTTATTATTCATAAAGTGATAAAAGTTGTAACAGAAATTGAGTTTTGTTGAATGTCTGAAAAGGAGAGGGGTATGGAAACTTGGATAAACTGGGACAATGGGGGGAGTGGGAGTAAAAATTTCAAGAAAAAGAAGACATAATTTATGGACAACCCCATTATCATTACATTACATACATTACATTAATTAAAATATTAAAGTCAGTATAATAAAATAATTAATTTTTTAAAATACATTTAATACCTATTAACTCTTTGTGTTAACTCTCTTCTTGGTTGTTCATTTAGAGCTGATATTTCTGTCACAACAGAACTTGTTCTTTCTGATATTTTTTGTTCAACAGAGGCACTTGCTACATCTTTAGCAGGAGCATCAACAGCTACAAATGTACAGTACATATTCTTATTTTACCTTACCATATTTAAATATATACAGTACTAATAAAGTTTTCAAGTATACCTCCTATTTCACTCTCATTTCTTTTCCTCTCCCTTTTCTTCAGTAATTGAGCTTTCTTCTTTTTTCCACTAAATGCTACTTTTCTTCCTCCTTGAGGCATGTCTTATATAAATATATAATTTTATAATTACAACTGCATTAACAGTATTTTAATATCTGACTTTAATTTATGTGAATCAAATTTTCTACAATATATGTCTCAACTTTTGCCCATTACAAATGAACCTGACTAACAAAACTTGATTTCAATCCAGTCACAAGTTATAGAATATAATAAAAGAATTATGAAAATCTATCCATAATGTATCCATGAAATATTATGAAAAACAGATTGTAGGAAGAAATCAAAGAAAAGAGACTGACATAGCAGGATAAAATGAAAATGATGGAATAAAAACAGATTGATAAATGAAGATGCAAGGAAAGAAAAGTTACAATAACTCATCAAGACAACACAATCCAAATTTTGAGATAAGAAGACAAAAGTAGTAATGAGCAATTATATATTGTGTTTAACAATGCCAGGCTGCAATTTTAATCATATTTTTAATGTATTTAATTTTAAATTAAATACATTAAAAATATGTGCTCTCCATCTCAAATTAGTAGTGGGTTGCCCCTGTACAACATACTTTTGCTTTAACAATTTGTGCTGATCATCTAACATCTTATAGGAAAAAATATTTGAATTGAAATAGCATGACTTCTAGTTTGCATCAGTTTATATATACAGTAGAGCGTCGATTTTCCGAATCAATTGGGGACTAGGGTTGTTCGTATAACTGATATTTCGGATAACCGATTTATGTACGAAAAAATAGTTTAACGTATCCGATGTTGAAATTTTTATCCATTGCGTGTTGCTTCGCATTGAATTTTCGTCGATGTTAAGCCTAACAAAGACTATTGTATCGTTAAAAATTATTTTTTTATTTTGTACAAACAAAATAAATTTATTGAAAAATATAAAAACAATAAAAAATTATACTTCAGATGTTAATTTAGTATCAAAAATGTAAAATATTTGAGTAGCCCAAGACATAGCCAAAGATTGAAGCGCCACAGCACTGGCGAAAATTTAAATTTGCCGACTGGAATTCTTTCGGATGATTGACTTTCGGAAAATCGACGCTCTACTGTAGTTAATTGAGGCCTCCTGCCCCTAAGTTTTCCATATGTAGTCTCGTCTTTCATCTATCTAATTCCATTCTCAAGATCAAGGAAAAACAGATGGATGGACAGACAAGTAGACACTTATAGGTCTACAATTCCTTTAAATTACAGCCCATGAAATATTAAATATGACCCTTTTACCTTGGTAAATATAGTTATTAAATTTGGTATAGACCTCAATACTACACATAACTTTTATTATTTGAGATCCTTTAGTTTAGCATCACATTCAATTTCAGAGGCAAACAAATGATGGCACTAATTTAAAGTTTGATTATAATTATGAATTTAAATATAAATGCAATGAATTTAACTGTACATAAGTAAAGAATTTTTAATAGGCAACAAAATAATTTAATTCTACTTCTCTAAAAACATCAATAGCACAAGGTATAATAAATTCTGGAAGATATCATATTTTGAATGTCATTTTTTCAAGAATTAACTGCAATAGGTTAAAAATATATTTCAAATTCTAAACTCTAAGTCCAATTTTTTTACATGACAATGAATGATTCACTATTATTCCATTGATTTTCTTTTTCTAGACCTTGATCTTCAAGTTTGGTCTGAAGTTAAGAACAACTTGAAAGGATTTGTAAAACCTGTTCACTATTATGCTAAGTTCACAAAAAACTTTTGATGAAACATCTGCTCCAAACAGATTAAACTTTTTCTTGTCTGACCAAATAACATGGTTCCAGAAGCAGATGGTCCACCAAAAGTGTGTTAAAAAAAAAAGAACAATCAACTCTTTAAGCTCTGAAAATTTTTCTTTCTGCATAACTGGAAATGAAATTGTTTTTACCCCTCGGGCTAGAAGAGAAACTTGTATAGCAAAACAAGTCTAACAACTTTCTTATGGCTGATTTGGTTTCAAATGAATTAAGCTGATTTTGTTTAAAGAGTTAAACCCCAACTGTGTAAAGCCAACTGTTAAACATGGAGAGGGATCAGTGGCAGTTGGGGGTGTTTCAGTGCAAAAAGAGTTTGCAAATTAGTATTTATTGATGGCAGAATGAAGAAAGAAGACTGCTTAAACATTTGCAAGGAAAATTTGTAGTAGTCAGTTTGCAAAATGGAGTAGGAAAATAACTTTGTTTTCCAAGAAGACAATAACCACCCCAGGCATATGACAAAGATTATTACAGATTATTTTCAATGTAATAACATTTCTAAGTTAGATTGGTGTCCCCAATCACCAGATGTTGATCGAATTGAACATTTATGGAATGACAAGGAAAAACTGGATAGTGAAGATGAGACCAAAAACAAGGCAGAGATGAACTAACTTATACAAAATGTTTGAAAAACAACCAATCAGTGTGAAAAATTGGTAGCATCAGTGCCAAAATGTTGTCTGCCTATAAATGAAAGCAAATGAGGTCCCACAAAATATTAAATTTAATAATTGTGAGAAATATTCACTGTATAAACAAATTGTATGATCAACTTTTTTTTGCAAAATTTTTATATTTTTTTACATTTTACTTTTTCTTACATTTGCTAAGAATTGTAGTTATAATTTTTTGGAAACAAAATGTTTCTTCTCTATTTTAGCTTTTTTTTTATTTGCTACATGATCATATTTTTACTTTTCTGGCTATTATATATAACAGAGGAAAATGAATGGCAATCAGTCAAAAATGATCCTTCCCAGACTTTTACATTTTTGGACTCAAGGGACTTTGAAATGCTGACAAATGAAAAAAAGATTTGGGTTTTTTTTGTATGTTTGAATGTTAGTATGTGTATAGAGGGGCATGATTTTGTTCTTTGAAGCTCAGTAACTCCTGTGCTTTCTGTAGAAAATTCCTGAAATTCTGCAAGGAGATTTTTTATTAGGGGAATTGATGCTATTAAATTTTGGTTATTAAAGGTCAAGGAAGTGGGGAAATAAAAGGGGTTGTGTGTATCTCCAGTAGGGTTGGACTAATGATAATTTTACTTGTTATTAGCATTTACAATTTTTTATAAAACCTATCTCTACTCTCAAAATTAAACTTTTTGCCATTTTATAATAGTTAAAAATAGATGGTGCCACCAAATGTTGCCAGAAAAGTTAAGCAACTCATTGCTGGATTTTTTCTTGACTTCAGAAAATGAAAATTCCTTGCCGTATAAACAACTTTTTGCATCGTATATTTAAATAATCACTTTCTCTCTCTTACATATTTTTGATATAGTTCATTGAAAAGTTGCAGTTTAGTTTATTTGCAATTTGGCTCATCTTTTAACTCATAACTACTTCAAATTGTTATTTATATGTGTAGACTGGCACCTGCTTCCTAAACAGAGTAGTAACAGTTAGAACTGGCATATATTTATAGGCAAATTTCTTTCTTTTCATCAGCTCTTCTATATAAACTGAACCAGCCAGTCTCTCTGAATTCTAAATATGTTAAACAGCACCACCCAGTATTCTGTGCCATCAGATTTAGATAGTACCAGAGCAGTATCTTAATCATTGATCTAATAAGAAGTGTTGTGTTTGGCAAGAGCAAGCCACTGCATTTTTTGTATCTAAGAGCTAAATCTATTTAATTATGAGATAATATAAATATAAAAGTATATGAGTTATTTTCAACAAAATCTACAAATATCTAAGAAATAGAAAACATCTTTTATTCAGTTAGAAAAGTTGTATTCTAATCAATGGAATTTCAAAATATGATTAAGATAAAATAATTTGAATTAATCAACTATTTATAGTTTTCTAACACATGTAATAAAAGAGCATACATAGTATTTTCTAAATACAGGAGTGAATATAGTATTTTTAGATGATTATCTTCATCTGCTACTAATTCAAAACAATAATTGCAAATATTATGTCATGGATTAGCCTAATCTAAATACATACAGTAGAATCTCAATGCAGCAGAATCAAAAAATGTGTTATTACGAGTTATGGATCTGGTAAAAGAAGGTAAAATTACACTGATTTGGCAGGACCTGGAGGAAAAAAATTCATCATTCCAAACAAGATTTTATTGTATATATCAAAAATACTTTAAATTAAGCTATCTAAAGTATTGTCCATCTATACACTTGCAAGATTATTGAATTTTTAATAAGTTATCATACTTTATTAATAAACTGAATCAATTACATCATTTCTATATTTTTACAGATATTCTTTGCTAAAATCTGAAGCCAACAAAGCTTTAAAGCCACGACATAGAGATGTTACTCAGTTTACATATAAATTCTCCAAATATAAACCGAGCCATAGCCTTGAACAGTTACTAAATAATTAAAAGAGCACAAGATGTTCATAAATATAAAATAACCACTTCAGTCATCATAGCAACAGATAGTAACTAAACATTATTCACTACCTTGATTGAGATGTTGATCACGTTTCTTTCATTTATTACCATAGCAATGGATAGTAATTTAATTAAATCTTAAACCTGTAGATTAAGTTCTAAATATAATTATTTTTGTCTTCTTATAACAACAAGAAATTAACTAAATTTGATGTATTATTTTTTACAAATACATGTTATTTTACGAATTTTACTGTACTCTTATTAATACAGTTAAATTTGAGTTTACATTTAATACATTTAACTGAGTTTATTAATTTATTATTTCATATAATAATGATAAATAAAATCCCAATTCCACAACTCACCTTCTGTTTACAGTCGACATTCAAATTATAAACCACGTTCTAATTCATAGATATCGTGTATGAAAGTATATAATTAATCAGCAATAATTTTTATTTCTTTTATTTTTATTATTATATTTATATATTCTTAACACTTATAAATAATGGCAATAAATATTTTTATTTCATACAAACTGAGCATATCAAAATTTATTTTAAAACCCGTTTATATTGTTATTTATTTATTTGACATATTTTCTTTGTTATATCATTATTAACTAGTAAATAATTTTAAATCAAATTTATTTTGTAACATATAACTGTTTCTCTAAGGTAGGAGCCACTGAAATTTATCGGCTTGAAAAGAAGATTCTCCATATTTAGTTCGGTTGCTAGTATTTTTACCTACTCATTGAATGTTAGGTGTGTTGTGATATTTCATAATAAATATTAATAATAATACTGTAGTGTTGTTGAAAAACACTATAAGAAATAAACATTAAGTTAGAAATCTCGAATGCTTTTGGTAAAAGAAAAGGACTAAACATGGTGTCACTTTGCTTGAACACATGCTCCTTATATATATATATATTATTTTTTTTACTTTTTCTACCTTGTGGACACCAGATTGCCTTTTTTTAGAAAGCCATTATGGGTTTGACCATGCCAACAATTCGTCTCTACAGATGACCCAGTTCCATTCCGTTGCAGTCCAATCTCATTGAAAACTCTTACACCACTCCAAACTGTGGCGACGGTGAGTGGTATCAATGGCAGCACGCGTAATGGCCGTTGCGATACTAAATGTTCCTGACCACTTGCCTCGAAATAATAAGGACAGACACAGAAGCTTGTAATGATGGCACTACCTGTTACGAATGGCAAACAACGATATCGTCATCTGTGTACGTACTTGTCGAAGGACCAGTCGGTCCTCTCGGCTAGTGATTTGCCGAGGACGTCCTGAGCCTGGATCCCGTGCATAAGATAAGAGTTCTCTCTCGTACACTGGTTTCAACACCTTGCAGTGTTGTCAGAACGGCCTAAATGCCGGGCTATTAGACGAGATGACCATCCCACTTCTCACAACCGATGATCCTTTCCCTCTCAAACTCGGTTAGTTGTTGATATGATCTTCAATTATGACGTAAAAGCATCTCTAGTGATACAGCATCCCTCTGCAACAGATAAACTGCAGACAGGATGCCTTTGCGCGCTTTTTTATAGACGCATTTTAATACCCTCTGCTAGCATTACGCAATGAGCCATCACGTTATAACTCCATACCTGCTTCAGACTTATCTGCATACCAAGTTTCGCAGCGGTACGACTTCTTGGTGCGCGAATTTTTGTGGCAATGAGTGGCGATGAACTGTTCCACCAAAAAACCTTAGTGAAGACACAGGTATCGATCGCACTATCACTCGACGAGTAAATCACATTTTTTTTAACTTTCCGTCCTTTGGACACTAAAAGCGCCTTTTTTTTCCATGCCCATTGTGGCTTCGGTCATGTTTGTTTCTTTGTTCAGTAATGGCAACGCAACACTTGGGCGATCTGCCTAGGGGATGTCTTCCGGGAGATCTTTTTAAGGGAAACTGGCTCCTATTTACGCGTTACAGACGTGGAGAAAACCCAGAAAACTCCACGTGGCCAGCCCGTCCGAACGAGGCGCGAACCCACGACCGAACTCTCAATGTTCAGGTTCGGTCATGCCTGCAATGGAACGGCCGGATGGTGAAGGACAGTAGTCTTTTCAGTTCATACTCAGTTTTTGCACATATGCTAACTTGGATGTGCATATTATATTACAGTATATAGTTTATGGTGTTTAAAATAACCTTTTTATTTAGGCTTTTATTAAGTGATAACATAAGGTAAACGCACTGGTAGTGGACACGGCATTAGTAGTCGACACTTTGAACTTCAAATATGAGTAATAAGGTTGTAGATGGCTTCACTGTTCAAACATACAAATCATTCAGTAGACAGAACTTGTAACTTATTATTTCTTTTCTGTCGATTTAAATAATAATGAAAATAGCCAAAAAGCAAATTCGAGACTATGTCACATACACCGGGTGATAGATTCTTCGGCATATACATCACGCCAGAGGAAGTAAGCTTCTTTGCATATTTAACATGTATTCCAGAGTGTCCTTGCTCTGGGCACTTTTACATTTTACATTACATTTATATTTAGTGGGGCCCTCCCTCTGACCTGTAGCATTAAATGCTACTGGCTTGAGGTACTCCTCTTTTAATTAACCCTCTTCGCATATGCTTTGCAGGTAGTTATGATTACATAGTCGCGGTCGTAGACGCAATACATTAATACCCGACAATTCTATTTTTATTTACATTAATTATATTGTTTTGTTGAGTAAAGTACAGGTAGCCCTAGGTTTACGCCGGTTCAATTTATGCCGATTCACAATAACGCCGCTGCACAATTCGCGATTTTGCTGTGTAATTCCCCGATTTTCCCTATGCCAGACTGATTTTCTTTTCAATGTTGACGTATTTACCGAGCCGCGACATTGTACATTCGTTAAAACAAAGATTTTTATTGAATATATTTATTTTTTCTGTTTAATATTATTGGGTATGTATATAGTTGCATTAAATTAATATTAAAATACTAAACGTTTAGGTACCCACGAGTCAAGTTATCAAACTTAATAGTCCAATAAATGGCGTCCGAATTCATAGCGCCATTGAATTTAACGTATCCTTTCGACTATGGAAAGTTCGACGGTTGAACTTTGCGAGTTAGACAATGATTGGGAGCGAAGTGCGAATGTAAAAAGGAGCATCGTCGCATCCATTCGACCATATTCCGAAATTCTCAATGAAAGAAAACAAAAATGTAAACAATTAAAGATGGATACTTTTTCCGAAAAATGTAAGAGATCCGAAACTAAAATTTTTAATAAAAACATTTAACTTTATTTTATGATAAAATACATTTTAAAAATTAAATTTATTTGTACTTTGTATTATATTGTATTAATAAACAAAATTATTTGGGTATTTTTCACTTATGTGGAACCTAATCCTATAGCTCATTGTAAACATGGGTTCATTTTACGCCGATTCGATTTGCGCCGGCTTTTGTAGGAACGGAACTGAGGCGTAAACCGAGGTCTACCTGTATTGATATCATTAGTTTGACAATGATCTATGATAGAGATTTTTTTGTTTTGTTTTTATAACAATTTTTATAAATTCATTGAAATAATAATACATGTTAACATTATTTATAAGACTACTTTTCCTAATAGGCCAATTGTAACCTTCTTTATTACAGGTAACCCCCGTATAACACGGCACTTCTATAGCACGGATTCACTCTAACACGGTTCGAGAATTGGTACCATCCCCGTATAACACGGTACTTGAACGGATTCACTCTGACACGGTTCGAGAATTGGGTAAAACCAGAGTCGGTAGATTAACTGGTCTTTCGACTAATAGTTCAAACTTAGCTAGAGACAATATTTGCCGCTAGTCGGCGCCATTGTTAGCAGGAGATCGTTGTTCTTGCTAGGTATATACTGAAGTCAGTGATTTTGACCTATAATAATTGTTTTTTTAGCTCCATAAAAATGCCAACGTGCTTTGTGCCAGGATGCAAGGCAGGATATAAGTCATCGAACGAGAAGAGACATTTCTTCCGTGCTCCTAGCGATAAGATTGAGGAGTGGATGCGATGCATTCCACGAGACGACA